GTGCTACAAGTCATCTATATTACATCGGAAATGAATAGAAAAACACTTCTTCACATGAAGTAATTTCAAATATAAACATTCCTCGGTGTGAGCAAATTGTTCTTTCAATGATAAGAAAATATTGTGAATTATTACGAAATATATCGCTGTATTGTTCATTTGCTGATTTCTGGTTTTGTTTCTGGGAGGATGGTCCGAGTCCGTTAATTATTCAATGTCTGTCATTATTTCTTGGACAGTGTTTTTATAATTTTCATCATTATATTAATTTTCAGCATTAAATAAAATCAATAATTCAAGCTGTTTACACGGTTTAATATCAAATAATTTCTGAGTTTGTTTTGCATGAAAACAGTTTAGGAAAATCATCAAAGTGAAATCATTCAATTTTATAAATAGACTAGCAGTAGAGCCCGGGGTTGCCTGGGGATGTAACAGTAAGAGATAAATCAAGTATCGATCATCATAAAGACTGAAAAGTAAAATTGACATAGATTATTGTTTAAGGTTGACGGACACGCATGTCTTAATTAGTTTTTTGTTTTGTTTTTTTTTTTTTTTTTTGTTACGAATTGGTAAAAACCCAAACTCAAACAAAAACATTGTTTTCAATCGTTATGAGTCTACCGATTGAATAGAATTTTATTATAAACAATTGTCTTGTAAATGGAATTTTTAAAAGCATTCTGAATGTAAAAATAAAAGAAAAAAAGTGCAAGACAATAAGAAACACTACCTGCCAAAAAAAAGTGAAGTTTTGTTGAAATCTGTTGAAAAATGTAGGAAATCCGATCCCATATATAAACGAACACACACACACACACACACACACACACACACACACACACACACACACACACACACACACACACACACAAACAACACACACACACACACACACACACACACAACCTGGGTTTTTGTAAGTATAACTCGATATGAGTTGTCCCCCTTTCATTCTCGCGATGCCTTTTAATCGTGTTTTCAAATTGATTTCGTGCAAAAACAATTGTGTTTTTCCAATTTTTGGCGCTGTGAGAACAACCGCAAGGTAATTTTACGTAGTCCTGTGAAGTTTTATTGAAATCGGTTGAAAAATGTAGGAAATCCGATCCAATATATAAACGTACAGACACACACACAACCTGGGTTTTATAATAAGTATGATTATCAGTTTCACTGAATGTCTCTTCATCCCACTTTTAATTATTGTTCAAAATATTTTGAAATGAATTTTTCCAGTTTATATGCAGCTTTTCTTATAAAGTGACGTGTACTTCTGAATCTATAAAACAAACAGTGATGGAAAGTCGATATTAAAATCTCTAAAGACAACTTTCGGCTTTCTACTTTACTAAAGTTGCGTAAATACGAAAATCTATACAGATTTTTTCAAAGTAATTCTAATGAACACGAAAGTTAACTACTTTGAAAAAATTACTAAAACAACAAAAACAAAATTTAGTTTCTAAAAAAATTAATGTAGAGTATTGATCCATTTTACAACAAACACCAGAAGGAATATATCATCTTGTTATTGCGACTGAAAAAAAACCCCAAAACTTTTAGATCACTGAACAAGTTCAAGAATTCCATATAATATTGTAGACACCACACATGAGGCTCAGGTTGGGAACCGCTGCTATATAAATATTTTCCAAAACTCATTTCCAAATCGGAAACTTTCGTTCACAAACTTCACCTTTCACACACACACACACACACACATGCTCTTGCTTGTGTGTGTGTGTGTGTGTGTGTGTGTGTGTGTGTGTGTATGTGTGGAAAGACAGATAGAGAGACAGAGAGAAAGACAGAGAGAGGGACTACATTTTTAAGAAACTGTAAAACTAAAAATGAAAATTCAGTGCGCCATTTATTGTTTTGGCTGCTTAATCAATGAAGACATTTTCTCAAAAAATTCTAATTTAAGCCAACGTTCCTTCTTCTGCAACAAAGTCGCTGTTTTTTGTAATTCGAATGTAAAATGAGAGGAAACCAAAATTTCTTAAATTAGGATGTTATTATTTTGTATACAGATAGTTTCAGAAATAGCAATCTGAATTTAGGATCTTAAATGGGAAAATTTTGAATGACCGAATGATTTAAATTTAACTGTCGGCTATACAGGGCTAAATATTACACAATAGCGTTATTCTGGGGTACCTAAAAAAATGAAGGAAAGACAGTTACAACTTTGATTTCTGGTTATGATCAAAAGTCTGGATTTGTTTCAGAGACAGAACACAGGTTACGGGATTTCATAAAAAGTATTGTGAATTGTATATTTTTTGAACATTTCTTTTAGCGTTTCGTATGTAGAGTATTATAAATTTTTTTTATGTATTTAAATTCATCGTATAGATAGTGGGGGTAGATATATTCTAAATATATTGAGATAAAAAGTTATAAAGCGGTTTCAGCTTTATGTCATGATGCGAGAAAAAAGTATGTAGTCGTTTTCATCTGTTGATTTTCGCTATACTTAATATTTAATTAATTTTTGGATTTAATTACATATTTAAGAAAAAGAATTATTATTTCTCTTACAAAGTAAATTTAATAGTTGCTTCAAATAGATCGAAACTGTAAAAATTTTTTATAATGTATTTGGGCTAAATGATCTGAAGTACAAGGAGTTTTGGGTATATATTAAAATTGGAGTCATTTCTTTTTCCACACACACACACACACACACACACACATATATATATATATATATATATATATATATATATATATATATATATATATATATATATACAAGTAAATAATTGGTGTATACGGAATGAATTTCATTAACATAATAATTTTGTGATTTTATAACATATTTATGTTATAAACTTTTTTTTATAAAAAATAATGATATATATATATATATATATACTAGACTATGAGGGTCAAGCAGATCAGTTCCTAGGAAACCGACAGCCCGACAACAGCACAGGAGATTCGATTATAGTGGTGATGGTTTCGTGCAGGACCATCCACACTTTTTGAGGGGCCGAATACAGAGTCTCTGGAAACGATCCTCCGTAGGTTTTGAATTCAGACCAGTTGCCATCCAAGGCTATATCACCCAGTCTGTCCTGCTATTTACCCATAGCTGGAGGGAGATGAAGAGGATTCACACCTTTCCCAAGGATATTAGAACGTAAGTGGATGTAATGGATTCGACTTGAATTCGAACACGGCTCTCCAATTCCTCAATCCAAGCGGCTATCATTACTCCCCCGTGCCTCAATATATCCATTTTGTTAGAAATTGCTTCAAATGAAATAGGATACTGTGCTCTTTGATGACTTCTGGTTGTCTCGAATAACTTCTGAAATGAGTATCACATGTCGCATTATACACACACACACACACACAGATAGTGATGATAGAAGTCCACTCACCTCTGCGTAGTGAACTTTTTTTTAATGACGTAGAAGAAATTTTCTCATATTTGAACTTGGTAAATAAAACATCATACCTTAAAGAGTGCAATATTGATCTGGATAACTGGGAGCTCTAGGTAAAGACCGGCTTTCTTGGAGAGATGGTATTGCTGATGGTGCCAAGATCTTCCACGAGGTATCACAAAAATATGCAGAACTGAAGAAAGGGGTTCGTAAGGGATCCCTGAATTGCCATGAGGTGACAACCTGACCATGTGCCCAATGCAATCGGATATGTCTGTCCAGGGTAGGACTGATCGGTCACCAGAAATCACACCAATACCAACAGCCTATTACATATGACGATTTCGTAATGGCATGCTTTGAATGCCCGACCTGCACTAAAGTATGCAAGTTCAGGCTGGGCTTGACAAGGCGTATAAAAAGACACATTGGACGTGATGATGTTCAAAGTCAACTTCCACCATCTGGAGATGATTTGACATGCTATATATGTAACAAGAAATGCAGATCAATGGCTGGCTTTATGAGCCACTGTCGTTTACACAACAAATGAATGCAGTGTTGTGGGGGAGAGGGAGTTTAACTGATGAACTGAACATGTCAGTGATGGTCTTATTCACTTTGTGAGTCAACAGGCACTTTTTATGTGTTCAGTTATTTTTCTAGTTCGCAAATAGTAATTTTACAATTGTTTTGTATTTATTAAAGATTTAAAAATATACCGTCTTTGACGTAACGGATTAACTAGTATAAAATAAAATGGAAAAAGAAGGTTTAATAATTGACTGCTTTAACAAAAAAATGCGTTTGTTTATGAAAAGGAGAAAGTAAAAATCCACAAACGGTGATTTGAAATTTGCTGCAGCACATATAAAATTATTAACTAATAACTCTACATTCAGAACATGTTCACTTTAGAATAGTTTCAGATAAAAAAAAACTCGGTATTAAATATTTTACTTTTTTCAAACAGAAAAATGCTTTGTACAATTTTCATTCTTTATAAAACAGGCAAAAAAAAAAAATGTTTACTATATGATGACCTTCGAATTATAAAACAACAATGTTTTATTTAACAAAAAACAATTCTTCTTAAAGAATGCTTATCCGGTAGGAGCCACGATATTGAAGCGCGTATTTAACCTATATTCATAGACAACAATATATATTAATTAACGGAGCAGAATTTTCTAGACTTTTATCCCCATTAAAAATGGAATATAAAAGTCGTGTTAATATTTTATTTTATTTTAAATAAATATACGCGTGTGGAAATAAAATCTTTTAACAAAAGGCAAAGAATCTACTTATTTGGTTAAATTCTTCAGTTATCATTAACAAATCAAATGCCTATTAATAGTAGTAATTATTTATTTCAATAAGTTATTTGAAACATTTCGGATGTCTCATTCACCAACGATGCAATCTATCTGTTAACCTTGCAGATATAGTGTCTACTGTAGCAATTTTTTCAGCCTGCCTTTAGAGATTATTATGAATGTCAATTTAATAAAGGAACATTGAAAATCTTAACTCTAAGCGAATCATATGCAAACTTCAGTGTGCTCAGTTTTCACAAGGATTAAGGACACATAACGTTGAAATACAGGTTCCCGTACGATCACCGAAATTAAGCAACGTCTAGTCTGGTCAGTATCTCGATGGGTGACCATTTGGGAATACCATGTGTAGTTGAATGTGCAGATGGTATAATGGAAAATTGCTCGAAATTGTTAATCGGAGAGCCTAGTTCCAGTATCCGCCGAATTCGTTATATTTGTTTACGTGGGAAATGTATGATTCCACCTTTTCCCGCAACCAGCTATGACTTGTATCTTTAAACGGAAAAAAAAATTCTTAAATCTAAAAATATTTTCTGTTTTTTAAATACCTTCAATCTGTTGATAAGCTTTAAAAAACGAATCAATCAATTAAAAAACAGTTTTCACAAAATCCTCTTATTTCACCTGAAATAAAATTCACATATAAAACGCAGTGTATATGGATTTATAAATGCTTATTTTTGTTTCTAATGCTTTTCATACAGAGCATAGGCACTAAATTCTGATCGAAGGTATTATTAGAATCCCCGAATCTCGAGGAATGACACTTTTAATGTTAAACAGAGTTTACACATACTCTGATTCAAGACTGAAATGCCGATTCTTATGAAATAATTTCGTCATTTTAACGTGTACTTTTCAAGAACGATGGGCTGCTACAGCTGCAGTACATGTGGTTCCCTTACGGCTCTAATGGATTATGGAACTGATGACATTCTAGTACGAATATAAAACAAAGAAATAAGTCGTCTCTTCTTATATTCTTCGAGTACACAAGCAAATTTTTCAATGACAAAAACTCCACAAAATTAATTTTAAAAGCAGATTTTATTTTTAAAAAAATAATAGATTTGTAAAATAATTAAGTTACGATGTTGAATTCTTCAATTTCTGAATCAGTACATAATTTTCAAAATGGCTGAAGAGTTAGAATGGCCAGTAAGCAAAGTTGGTATCCATTTTGAATATTGTAGAAATTGAAAATATTTATATTTTCGAAGATTACAATTATCAGTTTCACATTTCTTTATGTAGTGTTGTGGTCTAATCTACTCCGAACGGTTTGTGAGCTATGTGTCAGCCTTATTCACAACACATCGCAAAAAACATATAAATGCCCATGACTGGTGACTGGTAGTCGGTTCAACAATTCAACCAAGGAAAATTGATCTCAGGTGTGCAAACACAGTTGCTCTCCAATCTTCCATTTCCAATTCTTCCATTATATCAATTACTTGACTCTGTTACATTTCGTCTTAATTAACTGCAGGTGTTTCTCCTGTCCTGAATGCCGACTACTACGGATGTATCCCTATATTTATGAGAAACACGTTTCTTTCAGTCGATTTGCATAGTAACAGGATCAGATAATCAAAGCAGAATGATGGAAGAGTCGAAAAATAATAATAAAAAAATAACAACATTCTTTTCTTGAATTTTAGTCAAGATCCCACCTTGTCTCGGCAAAGGTAGTTTATCTCAATTGTCATTTTCGAGTGGCAAGTAGAGACGGATGGTGGAGCGCTTCTTGTTTCACTCGAAACTACTGCTTAAAATCCTGTTAAGTTATGACTTTAAATCCAGAAAATTCCAGGTACTTATTCAATTCATTGTTGTTAAATGTTTTTGCTTTATGCAACAGCGCACCAGAAAAATCAGAGTCCAGTGTACTTCTGGTATGTTAGTAAAATCCAAATAACTTCGCTTGGCCATCTAGGCCTTTCGTATTAAATTCTTAAGTTAATTTAAATTCTAACCAGCATCAGGTATAGATTCACAGACTTGCAAAATCCACATATCTTCCTACAGCCACATTTAATTTAGTCTTCTTGTAAATTACAACAACTTTAACTTTTACGTTAAAATAAGATTGTTACAATGTTACTTTGATAGAAAAACAATGTGATATATTTAAATTAATGTTAATGAATAACGTTAAAACTCTATTGCATAGAACATTTTGATTAATCATGAAAAAATGCCACAAAACTATGATTTTATTTGCTTTGCGTGAGGGGCACATTATATGAATGAAAACATTAATGACTGGTCATAAACTTTTACAATTTATGAAACTAAGTTCATTATTTTTTTCATTCAAATCATCTAAACTCTGCTACTCCATATTGTGGCTGATTTTTAAAGTTTTGTTTCTTAGAAACAAGACGTACATCCGAATGTTGAGGATGTTTGAGCCTCACTTGTGATAAGGTCAAGTGTGTGGTTGGGTCAGCGAGGACAATTGCAATAAATGACAGTTGGTGCGATGTAGTCCTTGGAATTTTCCAGACAAAATTGTCTATTTAGAGAAAATTTGTTAATATAGATTTTTTGTTAATGTGTAAGTTAATGAATAGTTTGATTAAAGAGGGTGTGGCTTGAACAAAATTACTTCAGGCCACGTGGCCCATTCATTGACTCAAAACTGAATCTTGCACACACATACACACACACACAGACATACATATAAAAACACCAAAAAGCTATTTGGAATTTTAAGTATATTTAAATTTATCTTAGAATAATTTTTTAAACCAATCTTTAATGAAAATATAAAAATTATTTTGTCTTAAATGTAAAAATCTACATTCCTTTCCTTAAGATAATTGTATGACTCAGCGAAAAAAAATATCCTTTCATTTCTTCAAGAAGTAAGTATTAGTCTTTAGTAATAAAAGAATTAGTTCTTATGGAACGAAATCAGCGAAATGTTGCTGATTAAAAAGCAATAAATAATTACCAAATAATTAATGATCAAAAATTCACACATGGAGTGAAATTGTTGAATCGCTAGTTTGTTTCATTTACTACACATAACAGGAGGAAGGTGAATTAAACAGCAGGGCAGACTTTAGACTTGGTAGTGCAACCAGTCTAGGAGAAGGAAATTGTGATTTTAAAATCAGCTTGAAGAGAGATGTGCCCCGTTTGGTTATCCTTACCAAGATTTACCTGCTGCTGTCATGGCTGCAGAACATGTAATTGTGTCACGTTTCTTGTGATATTAAAATCTATATTTAAAACCTATAAAAATAATTCTATATAAATATATACGAATTTATATCTATAAATATGCATGTCTATAACATCAATTAGCCAAGTAACAAATTTTATTTGTATTAATCCTACACACACACACACGCACGCGCGCGCACACACACACACGCACACACACACATATATATATATTAAAAAATATACATAATAGCCTATATTGATTACACTATTCGGAGTTTCATGCTGTCTGAAATCCCCAGGTGCCTATTGCAGACAGCATGAAACTCCGAGTTGTTCAATCAATGTAGGCTATTATGTATATTTTTAATATAATAAATAGCTCTGTTATTTAACATTGAGCACTGTTTTTTCTTACACTATATGTATATATATATATATATATATATATATATATATATATATATGTGTGTGTGTGTGTGTTTGTGTATTTGTATATGGACGTTTGCTCGAACATTTACCTATATTTATCCATTTGGTTATATATAATAATAATATTATATATATATATATATATAATGTTTTTATTATGATATAAAATTTCATATTAAAATCTATGGCAAGGCGACGTTAATTATCGATGTATGAACGTGGTATATCGGTGGGAAAAAGACGGATGAGAAATTCTATTTCTAAAATTGTAGGTTTATTTGACATCCCTTGCTTTACGGGGTTACACTTGAACCAGGAATACATAGATGGAAGGCATTTTCGCCTACCGTGGACAGCATTGTAACCAACTTCGGATGCTTAATAATTGTAACCAGAACTTGTCTGTCTTGAACTGTCTACAAGTAACAAATCCCATCCACATTCAATGCAGAAAGTACCAGAATTTCTATACACCAAGTTAAGTTCATCGTTTTCCAGCTTCCAGAGTTAGGGTTAGGGTTATAGACACCGGACACAGCGTAACTTGTGCTCGTGACATCGCTAACTGGACCATGGAAGTCTGGCAACGTGTAGCGTGGTCTGATGAATATCGATTCCATTTGTTTTAGCCTCATAATACGTTTTACGTGTAGCGCAGACCCATAGACCCCAGTTGTCAACAAAGCACCATCTAGATTGGTGGTGATTCCACAATGGTGAGATGTGTTCATATTTGTTGATCTCCCTAAACATGTTATTCACCAGCGACTGTTAAGTTTTACGGCTTCGTGATCATTTGCACATATTCAATGACCCCATGTACACTAATAGCGATGGGTGATTCTAGCTGTTTCATTGGGCTCAAGTTGCGCAGAATTGCTTTGAGGAGTATTATGGAGTCTTCCGACGAGAGATGTGTCTATCACCTTCTCTCGAACATTTATGGGACGCGGTGGAGATATTTATTTGCAACCAAATTTCTACACCTATAAAATTCATAGAGTTGTGGACTGCTATCGAGGCAGTATTACTCAATATCTCTCCAGGAGAAATACATGATATGTATTTGGCACATTTGGCATATCTGTGCATTTTCATGTTTTTACTTTGTTCCTTAACTGAAACTTGTTTTCAAGCATGTATGAAAGGAAAGACATTTCAATTTAATATCTGACAAAATCTGAAGAAATAACTTTGCATTATACATGTGAAACATCTCGGCTTTTCGGTCGTTGTTATGCTGGGTTAGTTCATTATGTAGAGTTACATGACTTAGAACGAAACAATCTTGTTTGGTAGTAAAACCTCATTTTAGAAATAAAGGGGGTTTCCAGATATAGCCACCCATACGTATGTACGCTTCGGTCTATAACCGTTAACAAAGCATGTTGTCTAGAGTTGAATTTAAATAAAACCGAAAGTAAAAAGATAATGTAAAAATGCAGAAGTACCCGTGGATATCAGATAACGGTAAATACGTGTACCAGAGACTGGAATTCAGCAAAGTGAGAAAATTTCGAAAATGTGAAGTCATATATCGATGCCAGTATTATTTGCATTTGACCAGCAATGTGGATAAGAAGATTCAATCGAATAGTGTCCAGCTTCAAAGAGAAGGCCGGGAAAACCCAAAGTGAATACTCTGATATATTACATGAGCAACAAAACAAAATATTCAAACTCTCCCAGGAGAATTCGGAAAACATAGATTAAGTCAAGGCAAGATTTGACGAGCATTTTATG